AATCCCGCCCCGGCGCCTCTTCAAACTCCTTCACGACATTGTCGTAGTGGTCCGGGTTCGTTGCCGGCCGGCGCAGCTTGGGCGGTAACGGGTACCGTCTCGCGTAGCGGTCTTCCAGTAACGACGAGAGGGCATTGAGCGAGGCCTCTGAGATTTCTACCCTGGGGGATGGCTGTGCTTGTTGCGGTTGTGTCGCTGGGTCGGCTGAGGGTTGGGAGAGGCGGGATTGGAGGTAGGTTTGGACGGAGACGGAGGCCGGGCGGACGGGGTCGGTAGGCCAGTGTTTGAGGAGGTGAGAGAGACGGTTTATTGTCTGGGGGTTCAGAGTCTGCGAGTGGTTAGTGTGGTGGTCTTTGATGGGATGGACTCTTGGACTTACTGGTTTGCTCATGGTCGAGATAACGAATTGTCTTTAGTAAATGAAGACGGAGTCTATTTGGCCTGACGGTATTCCGAGAGATAGATTGAAGGTATAAAGTGATAGAATTGTGACCTTTGTTGAGCTTGATAAATGCAGATAGATGATGATATCAGTCGAGAACGGCGGAAAATCGGAGATGCCCCAGTTTCCAGGCTGCCATTTCAGCCACAGCGAAGCCACAGCCACAGCCAAGCCAAGCCACCGGTGTCTGCCTGATTAGTGAGGAATGAGGAATGAGGATGATTACGGAGACGGTCGGTCGATCCTCTTCCATCCGCATCCTAAGTCAACGCCTCCACTGTCATCGATCGTTTCCTGCATCTCTCTGGACATTCTTTCATCGGTTCTCTCTTTCTCTCGTCTCAGTTGGTCGTTTCTTTTGTTGCAATACCGAGTGCTCCTACACGCCCCCTGCTCAGCTCGTCATGAGCTCGCAGCGTTATCAGCGGGTAAGGCAGCAACTCCCCATATATCGATCCCCTCGTAGGATATTGACATGTAACATTTACAGGTTAATGCCCATGACGACGACGAAGTTGATTCCCATTCGTCGATCCCTCTACAAACAGCCCCAGCGCCCTCGTCTCCGCCGCCCTCATTCCACTCTCGTTCCTCTTCCTTCTCGTCAAGAAGACTCCTTCAGAATGGCTCCCATCGAAGCGATGCAGACCAGACTCTTGCCGACGCCTTTGGCGATGGGAGCGATTCCGAGGCAGATGACGAACCTGATGACCGACAGCGACTGATGCGGGCCCATCCGGAGCAGTCCTCACCAGCGGGCAGTGGCGGAGATGCTGCTCCTTCATCTGCCGCCAGCAACGAACCACCGTCACAGAGAAACCAGTCGAACTCGACTCTTCAGAGAAGGCCAACAATACTGCCCAGTTTCAGCACACCCTCGTCAGGCGCAGGTCGCATGATCAGTTCGTCAAATGACGGAGTCTTTGCCAATCTGGCCGCCAAGCCCGAACGGGGAGAGAAGAACGAGGATCTACCTCCGGTAAGCATGCTCCATACTGACACTCATTCTCACTCAAGGAGCTGACGTCGACAGTCCTACGAAGAAGCAGCCGCGGACGCCACACCCCCGTACTGGGAGACCACAATCTTGGCTCCCGGCATCTCGTCCAATGAGGTGTATGTGGATGGACTGCCGGTCGGCTCGGTCTTCTCCTTCGTATGGAACGCCATGATCTCGATGTCCTTCCAGCTGGTCGGCTTCCTCCTGACTTACCTCCTTCACACCACACACGCCGCGAAAAACGGCAGCAGAGCTGGTCTCGGCCTTACATTGGTGCAGTATGGTTTCTACATGAAAGGGGGGAGTGATGCGGGATCGGGTGATGGTGGCTCGGACTATGTTCCTCCTCCGGATCCCAACAGCCACAACTTCGATCCAACTTCGGTGTCTGATGGTTCATCCGGTGGCAACGGAGGTGGCGGTGCGGTATCCGACATCACGACGAGCGAGTGGATTTCTTATGTCCTGATGATTGTCGGTTGGTTCATTCTGATACGCGCCATCAGCGACTTCCTACGGGCCCGGCGGCATGAGCAACTGGTGCTGCAGAGCCCCGAGCGTGGTCTCAGCGTTCCGGTAATCGCGGAGGGCGAAAGGTCAGAAACGGTTGTATAAGGACAGATCATTCAGTCATCGACTTTAAGGTACAGAATAGCGGATCACTCATCGGATGGTTTGGAGTTCATATCTGATATCCTTGGTTTATCTGGTCGGGTAATGGGACTCGGGCTTCTCTCCTTCATGTTTATTCTCGTCTCATTCAGTAATCATGGATTCAGCAACTGGCATATTCTCTTCTGTAGCTATTTTTGTTTCGAGATACCAATGCGAGGGAATACTTGGCCTCTGCCACTGTTGGCTCCATAGATCAGCAGCCTCGTACTCCAGGCAGCGATTTTCCGTACACGTTCGCCTCTCACTTACGTGTCGAGTACTCTAGACAACCTTGTTTTTGCGTTACCCCTGCTGTTTCTGGATACTTGACGGTTTCACCCATCTCATTCTCGAGCTACTGGAATTGTGCGACAATCAATGCTGATCGTCGCTGACAGTTAAACCTCCTCTTGGCGGCTCTCCGCAACTGCCCAACCGTCCCGGCTTCTCCGCCGCGATTGTTTGTTTTGCTCAGGAACAGCGCTTCTAGGCACTTTCAGGCGTCCAATACAGCTCATCCCGCGCGCTCCGTCCATCTACGTGCCCTGCGACTGTTAATTTTCAATTCAATGGCCAAGGTCGACGGTGCGGCGGACGCAGCTTCTGCATCCTCCCCCGCGTCGCTCAATCCCAATATCCCCCAGGGTCCAGTCGAGGCTCGTTCTCTCTCGTCCATCACGACCATAGCCTCAAACCCCCCGGCCTATCCTCGGAATCCAACGCAAAAGAAGCTAGATCCTCTTGTGCTCTATATTGTGCGGGTACCCGGAAGCAAAGGTATCTTCTCGTCGAGCTACCCCGCGCCAGTCATTCAAGACTGCATCAGTCTGACTTGGTATAGATGTATTTCTCTCGCCGTTGAAGCCTCCAACCAAATCAAGCATCTCCGCAGAAGCCATCAACGCCTCCCTTTACTACCTACATGTTGCGACGCCGGAGGATGATATCCTGCTGCAGGAGGTCGAGGAGGAGCGGGAACAGCAGGCTAGATTACAAAAGGAACAATTGAGCGAAGGAGCAGAGGCCGCCAAGTCGCCGGCGGAGTTTGCGCGATTGAACAATGTCCGGCGAAAGCCTGTGCCGGGTGGTGGCAGCGGTGCGAGCTCGAACCTTCTTCCGCAGACTCAGCCTGTAGGGTTGTCGCAACCGCTGCAGCAGGAGAATCACTCGCCGTACCCTCCTACTTTCGACTCTCAGCGTCCGCTGATCCCGACCCGTCCGATGCTTTCTCAAGGTTTTTCCAGTTCGGAGTCAGTCACCGCTGGTCCTTGGGCTTCGAATATCTGCGACCAATACCTGGGCGACTCGCCTGGAGATACAGGAGAGACTAGAGCGCCCCCCTTACCACCTCGGCCTCGGCCTTTTGTGCCAACTACTTCAGATCCGATCAACAACAGTCCCTCGGGGAAGAAGAATCATCGATGGAGCGCCCTGTCGGGGTATCTCAACAGTAAAGGGCTCGATAGCTGGAAGGAAAAGTACGAAGCCATGTCCGCAGGTCGTCTTAGCTTCGATGCCCGTCGGCCCGAACTACGACCGCATACGTCTGACGGGGCAGGATCGAATGTTTGCCGAGGATCGCCGTCAAGGAGCCCAGGGCAGTCTCCGCACAGAAGGCCGCGCGACCACGGCCAGGCTTCAGACCGACGTGGATTCCATATCACTCTCATCCGCCGCGATCCCACTCACGGCAGTCAATGGAATGTTGCGACCATCTCCACCTCTAAGACGGACAGCACCGCCGTCGACATCGAGGTATCGACACCGGGGTATAACCGGTTCCTAGCCCAGGATGAGCCGTTCTCCCTGCAGAGTCTGGGCATAAACCTCCCGTCAGATGCACAGTGTCTGCCCTCATCCGCATTCAAATTTCCCACCCAGTCGCAGACTGAACCCCCGTCCAGGGACCCGTCCCTGCCCCGCAAATTCCGCCGCCAGCTCTGCGTATCACGGCCACATCACCAGCGGGACGACTCGCGAGGCTCACTGGATATGCCCACCAACAGAGCCTCACTGGACACGTTTAATGGCAGCCCGACCAGGCCACACTCGCAGGCCCACTCCAAGCTGAAAAGCGGCTACTACACCTTCATCTCACCCTGGAACGGCATCTGCACATTCTCAACCAGCGTCAACGGCCGCAGCCTCAAATGCAAGCACATGATCCCCACACCCTCATATCCAGGCAATGGAACGACCCCCTCCAGCCCCGGCGCTCCAGCCGTGACCGTCGCAGAAATCCGCTTCAACACCCCCTTCCAAGCCGGTCATCTCCACCACCAACCCAGCTCCACCCATATCTCCCCCTTCACCCTCAGCCAGACCTCCACATTCAGAGACCCATCCGCCTCTGCCTCAGACACCCCGGGCCAAACACCCGCCTCAAAACGCAACTCCCTCGCCCAGTTCCTCAACCCAACCACCTACACCAGACCCCGCTCCCGCTCCGGCGCCAGCGCATCCTCCGTCTCATCCCTACCCAGGCACGGCCACTCACACACACGCAACCCCTCCTCAAGCAGCACCAGCAGCGGCGGGCCCGACGACCGTCTCGACCTGTCGCTCGCGCGCGAACCAGCGGGCGGGGGCATGCGCGGCAAGAGCGCGAAGCTGGGGAAACTGATCATCGAAGACGAGGGCATCAAGATGCTGGATCTGGTCGTTGCGGCTTGTATGGCTGTCTGGTGGAGGGGGTATTACCATTAGCTTTGCTTCGCTTTGCTTCGCTTACTCCGGACTTTCTTTCTGTTGATATACTCGTATATGCTGCCCATTTATTTGAAGATAGGGTGAGGATGGGCGATACCCGCAGTTGATATTTCTGAAGTTCTCTAGATACTCGCTTGTTTACACGATTGGATGATAATGATTGATGCATGTGTTGTGTTCGTTTATAGAATTGAATTGATGGGGTATACATAGATAGGCTCAGTGCATGTACTTTACGTGAACTGTTGAATTTGGAGATAATGGCCCAGTCATGCATCTCATTTGACGCCCTAGCATAAATCGGTCTAAGGCCTGCTAATGCATATAGGCGGAGATAATGGACCAGTGGTAGTGCTCTCATTGAAGTGTCAAATGACAACGAGGTATAGATCGAGGGAAAGTGATATGATATACTTGATCGTTTATGAACAATGCAACAATCGACATGTTTACCGAGACATACAGCACCGACAAAGAACGGTCTATTGGACGTCCATCCCCCGCTGCAACGACGATTCCAGATCGTTGGCGTGGCCGCCCGCGGCGTGCGCCTCCTGAGGCTTGGGCTCCTCGTGCTTCCAGCCGCCCTGCTGGTGTTCAGGGATGGGAACGTTGGTCTGTTGAGCGATCTGCTGCTGCGCGGCAGCGGCGGCCTGCGCCTGGGACTGCTGCCGGACGAGGGTGCGGAAGCGCACCACTTCGTCGTAGATCATCTTGCGCATCTCCTGCACGTCGTCGACGACTTCGAAGTGGAAGTCAAAGGTCGTGGGGCAGGTGGGCTCGTCGGAGGCGTCGTGCCAGATGTGCAGGTATGGGTGCTCCAGCGCTTCCTCGACGGAAATACGCGATGCGGGATCAAAGGCCAGCATGCGATCGAGCAGATCGAGAGCGTCGGGGTTGGCGTTGGGGAACAAGCGCTGGAAGGGGATCTTGGGCATGAAGGGCAGGTTGCGGACGTATTCCTGGGCCCGCGGAGATCCAATGCGGCTGAGTGTCTCCTCGTTGGGAGTGCCCAGGTAGTGCAGGATTTGGTTGAGCTGGTCGACGTAGTCCCGGCCTTTGAAGAAAGGACGGCCGCCGAGCAGCTCTGCCAGGATGCATCCTACAGACCACACATCGACTGCGATCGTCAGCATACCGCCGGTCTAATAGCGACGGAAATGAGTTACGACTTACTAGCTTTGGTGTAGCTCTGGAAGCTCAGCATGATCTCCGGAGCACGGTACCACCGGGTCGCAACATATTCGGTCATGTAGCCTGCGTTCTCCTCGGGGTCGATCGAAAAGCCGCGGGCCAGACCGAAATCGCAGATCTTGAGCTCGCAGTCCGCGTTGACCAGCAAGTTACCGGGCTTCAGATCTCGGTGCAAGACATTGGCGGAATGGATATACTTGAGTCCACACAGAATCTGGTAGATAAAAGATTGAAAGTGCGCGTCGGTCAGGGGCTGTCCCGATCGGATGATGGCGGCCAGATCACATTCCATCAATTCTGCATGATATCAATCAGTGGTTGCTGATGTTACCATAGTGGTCGTGGCACTCACCCTCATACAGATAGGTTTCATTAAAATTGTCTGGCCGTGGAATGTCCATGTCGTATAGACAGGTGATCTGCAACTCCGATCAGCCCTACCAGTCTTACGAATAAAAACAAGCGATTGACGTACGTTGCGGTGGCCTCGGAAGTGCTGGAGGAGCTTAATTTCTCTCAAAGCCCGCTTGGCCAGAATTTTCTTGCTGAAGACATTGGTAACCTTCTTGATGGCGACACCCTCACCAGTATGGACATTTGTGGCAGCACTACAGTCAAATGATCGTCGTCAGTACTCAACTCACTGGTAGATCCATGATCTCTTCGGCACCCCTTCTGATGTCATTCACTTCTTTTTCTGCCGTATACGCTGTCGAGCCTGATACAGACACAGACAACCGGTCGCAAGTCTTGAGAATGCAGACACAACCTACCAAACGATACCGTATGCACCCTGGCCCAGCTCCTTGGTCACATTGTACCGTTCATCCACGATAAAGTCTTGGTTAAAGACCTTGAAGACCTTCCGACCCTGTATATCGGACATGGCTCAAATCGGACAGCTCTTTTGTCCTGGAGCAACCGGCTTATGATCGACGAGAAAATCTCGGGGCGGGGAAGCGACAAACGAGTGTCGTATGAGGCCGGTGTTGACTTCGAATCGCAATGCTTCTGCGCCAACGAAGGTGAAGATGAAGCGAGTATCTCAACGAAGGAAAAGTCCCAGCTCAAATTGCTCAACGATTCTAAAGGGGAAGGAGATCCGGTCCGACTGAGACAGAGTTGGTGGAAAGGGAGCTGCCAGTAGTCCAAGCCCCGCAGTACAACGTGCAGCCGCCGTAACGGATTGAGACGTCGGTGGAGAGACGGAATGAGGACAAAGCAATAGGTAAGAAGTGTTCAAAAGGAGAACGAGGGGTAGAAAAGGATAAACAGGAAGAGAGGATGGAGGGGGAAAAGGAGAATAGAGTGTGTTTTGATGTGAAGCAGCGCAATTGGGGATGTGACGGGGGAAGTTAATTAAGGAATGATTGGGGCCTGCAGCTGCTGGAGCGCCGGGACGTGCATCAAGTCAATCAATAATCACAGCTGCTCCGCCGCACTCAGACAGACTAGGGGTGGTAGAGAAAGAAGAAGACTCAATCATGATGAATAAATTTTATATATATATATATATCCATTAAAACAAAAAAGATGAAAGAAAATCTGCAGACTTGAAGTCAAAGAAGAAAGATGGGACATCGAGAAAGAAGGAATATGCCTGAGGCCAGACCGAGACAGGAGAGGGGCTGTGGTGGGGATTCCCAAGGCCCCATGTCTGGTCCATTTTCCATAGATAATGGTAAACTATTCTTTCTTGAAGCTTAACCAGGACAATCACAGCGCTGACCAGCTTGTTCATATGGCTTGAAGTCTAGAACAGCAGAAGGCGAACTCAATTTGACAGTCGATTATTCGCTACATAACCAGAGAAGCCAAAGCCAGAACTCCGCCATTGCTAATCGCATTAGAACAAGCGATGAGTATAACTTCGAGTTTAATGCTAAATAATATCTCAGAGTATTCTGTGGTCCACATGACATTCAAGCATCTTTGTAAAAAAGAACTTGGATAGGAGGAAACCTCACCCCGTAGATGCAGGTTTCCAGACTACTTCCAGTACTTCAGGAGGCTTCTTAGGTCCCAGGTCATGAATATAGATCTGTCGAACAGAACCCGCCTGCTGAGTTGCGCTCTGCAAGCGAAAGGACACCTTTTCTTCGTCCTTTCGGCGAAATGGACCCAGACTGAACGCGAAGCCGTCCCCGCCTCTGTATTTACTATCCTCCCAGGTCTTCTCCATCAGATCAACATCCTCGAGTGAAGTATACTTGATCATAGAGAACCCGTTCACAAGGAACCAATTGTCCGTCAAGCGCCAACGATGCAGCAGGCAAGAGTCGCCGCAGATGGCCGCAACCTGACCGAGCCCAACCATATCTGCCTGGAACCATGATTTCCAGTGATGGACCGAGAGCGGCAGCGGGCGACCGGACTCGTAGAACCCAGAAGCGTCCCCGCGGAGATCCAGCTGGTACAGGTCGCGGTCCCACGTGAGTTTCGTGGATGTGTGGGCGTAAATACACATGGCAACTCTTCGGTCGCCTGTGGTTTTGATGTCGTTGCAATCATCAAACACCCGGTCGAGTTGCTCAAGGAGTGGCATTGAGAGGAAGATTCCGGCACCTCCGTAAGCCATATAACTCCAACTGAACATCTGGGCAAGATCCTCCGTCAGAGCCCCGATATACTGTGGCTTCGTCGCATCGTAGGTTGCGAGTCTGTTCACCAAATTCCTCATGGAAGGGAAGAAGGTGTCATCGTCAATCAAGACAGCCCACTGCGAAGATGCATCCCGATGCTTGAGCAGGACCCGAAGTAGAGAAAAGTACCGATCCAATCGCTCATCATCCGATTGAATTATAGTCAAACGGATATCTAATTCGTTGGCTCGTTGCTGCACCCTTTTGATTTCTGAGAGTATTTCAGATTCCACCAGAGCATATACCCGAGCGTCCGTTCTCCCCGCCCAGTGTGCGAATGCATCCAGAGAATCCTCCAGTCTTTCCAGTGTAGTAGCGACGCCGAACAAAAGGTGGGACGCGTTGGGTGGTGCGACCGGTAACGGGGCTTGAATGGTCACTGCGGGAGAGCATATCTTCGGCGACAACAGTTCCCGATGCTCGACTGTGTCCAAACGAATCTTCTGATAAGCAGGGAAACGGGTATGCAAGGTGTCAGAGAATCCCGTAAAGTTCTCTGTTCGCGTCACGGCTATCTCGAGCCGTGCATATTTCGCAGAAGAATTGTACCCGTGAGATCTCAGGATGTCAAGGTCGACGTAGCAAGTGTTTGTGCTTTCTGTGTTGTTGTTGCTGGAGGGCAGCGAGGGGATGAGGTCAACATCAGAGGGACTGGCAGGTCTGGAATAGAACACGAGGGAGGCGGACACAAAGATAAAGGCGGCAGCGAGGGCAAAAAGTTTCAATGGGGATGTATGTCGCCATTGAAGCAACGAATGATGAAGTCGCTGCATGATGATTCGTGCATGACTGTTGGTGTTGTCGCCTGCTTGTGGTAGAGTCAGGACTTGCTGGAAAAGGAGCGTGAAATAGTGACCTGCATCTTCCCTTCCTACGTAGAAGGGAATCGGGTGAAATACCCCTTGACAACCACAGAGATGATCTTGGCAACAAAAACCTGGAGTTGTGGATGGCAACTAGTCGCCTTATCACCATTTTGATTAAGGGGTGATCGAAATTTCATAGGTCCACCTACTCACAGTGGGACCAACAGGGTCGCAGGCCGCCAGCGGGCTCTCCTAGTGCTAGAACTCTTACTCGGTATCTACATGCGCAAATTCTGGGCATACAGGTTGCTTGTACCTAAGGTAGGGCAGATTGCCCATAAATTCTAGATCAGAATTTCTCTTCGTGTCTTCATCGCTAAATACTCCAGGTCTACTTTTCTGTGAAAGAGGCAACATCAATGCCTACATAAGTCATGCTTCTATGCGAGATCGCTTGCCGTAAAATAGCGGCACTCGAAATGCGCCACCCAATAGAGGCTAAATACCAGTTTCGAATTGCTCTACAGAGCATTCACCAGTCTGCGCTCCTTCCTCAGAGCCCGGAGCTTCTCGCGAGCCTCTTCAAGAGGAACCATGACGCCCTTGTTCTGTGTAGCAGGGTCGTCACGGTTACGGATGTTGACGGAGCGAGACTCCTTTTCTTGAGCGCCGACGACTAACCAAAGTCAATACCATCCAAGAAAAGGATTAGAGCTCGATAAGACTTACCGAAGATGAAGTTGTACTGCGCCAGCTGACCAGTACGAATCTTCTTCTGCATGGTGTTACCACTAATGTCGATGTCCACATTTAATTTATCGTCACGCAAGATCTGCTGCAGCTCCTCAACATAGTCGTTCACAGCAGGCATGACGGGGACAATCAGGATCTGACGAGGGCTGATCCAGAATGGCCACTTGCCGCCAAAGTGCTCAATCAAGATACCCAAGAAACGCTCAAAGCTACCAATGATAGCTCTGTGGATGACGACGGGGCGCGCCCGACCTGGACCAAGCTCGTTGGACTTAGTCTCACCTTCCTTCTTCGAGTCATCCATAACAGCCTGGCCCTTCTCGTTGGTCATGTACTCAAGCTTGAAGTTAATTGGTGCCTGGTAATCCAGCTGGATAGTGGCACATTGGAACTCTCTCTTGAGAGCATCAGCAATGGTGATGTCGATCTTAGGACCATAGAATGCACCATCGCCTTCGTCAATCGTCCAGTCTTTACCTTTGAACTTGGTCATCGCAGACTTGAGCTGCTCCTCGGCATAGTTCCAGGTCTCGAGGTCACCGAGATACTTCTCTGGGCGAGTGGAAAGCTTCAGCTTGAAGGTGAAGCCGAACAGCCCGTAGATGGACTGGAGGAAATCAAAGAGACCCTCGATCTCAGAGGCAATCTGCGGGCAGTTAGTTGACTATAAGACATAAAATATGGTGCGAGATCTCCTCCTCACCTGATCTGGGGTACAGAAGATGTGGGTATCATCTTGCTGGAACTTCCGGACACGGGTCAATCCGCTCAATGCACCGGATGCTTCGTTACGGTGAAGGACTCCAAAGTCCGCAATTCTCAGCGGGAGTTCTCTGTAACTCCGTTCGCGGTGGCCGAAGAGCACGAAATGGCCCGGGCAGTTCATGGGCTTAAGAGCCCATTCTCTCTTTTCCACGTCAAGCTTGAACATGTCATCCTTGTAATGAGCCCAGTGACCAGATGTCTTCCAGATGCTAACGTCATACATGTTGGGAGTTTGGACTTCCTGGTAGCCGCGCTTGCGGTACTCGGCCCGCAGAAGAGCCTGAAGGGAATTGAAAATCTTGGTTCCATTGGGGAGGAGGAACGGACAACCTGGCGAAACTTCATCGAAGAAGAAAAGCTCCTGGTCCTTGCCAATTCTCAAATGATTGCGCTTCTCTGCCTCCTCCAAGAACTTCAGATGTTCCTGCATCTGCTTCTTATCGGGGAAAGCAACACCACGGATACGTTGCAGAGAATCGTTCGTCTGATCACCAAGGAAGTATGCGGAAGAGTTCTGGACATAGCAATCAGCGATGGACTCGGCAAAACGGCTTCCGCAGAATCGTGTTCATACCTGCATAATCTTGAAGGTCTTGATCTTCCCAGTATTCTGGATGTGAGGACCTCTGCAAAGGTCGACCAGGGTACCACATCTATAAACCGTGCTCTTTTCTCCGGTCACAAGCTTGTCAATGTAGTGCAATTTGTACTTGCTGTAGGCGAACATTTTCTTGAGATTTTCCTTCGTGACCTCCAACCGATCGAAGCTTTGCTTTTCCTTAAAGATCCGCGACGCTTTGCTATCCAAGGCCGGCCAGTCACTCTCTCTTACAACACGGCTATTCTCAGAAGTCAGACTCTTATTCCATCACAAAGTATACGTAAGAAGACGTAGGAATGACAAACTGACTTTTCAGGCA